AGTAAAATGTAGCAACACACAAAGGACAAAGTAAAATAGAAGAAAGGAATTCCTCATGGTAAAAAAGTAGTTGTCTTTCTCCATTCATATATAATTAGATGCTATTACTAAAACTTCCAGAGTACTTCAAATTGTTTAAGAATGTAAACTGTGAGTATGCCTCATGATAATGAGTAATCACTTGTGGAATACTTACCATGTGACATGCTCTTCTAAGGTCTTCACATTGGTTAAATCATCTCATCCTTTCATGAGTTCCTTCTTCTTCCCTTCCTCTGGAAACAGTGAAACCCTTCTATTTCATCTTTTTGGTATCTGTTCTTATTTCATAGGATCTAGAAACCAAAAAATTATATTTTAGAGACAGAATCCTTTTATGGGAATTTTTTTCACTGCCCAGTGAGTCCCATGGCACTTGGGGGTCTGCAGTTGCCTTTTTCATTTTCTGTAGAAAACCATGGCTTCCTGGTTGCAGCACCATTCCAGTGCCTACCCTGAGCTTCAAGCATGCCCCAGAGGTCTCCCACCCATCCTCTGACTGGTGTGAAGACTGTGCCCCCATGGTGGGTCAGGCCCATGGTGTGGCTCTTAGTGTGATCTGTGAGATCAAGATCAGTCTTTCCAGCACTGTGACAATCTCTTCATCCTATTACTTATGTGCTTGCTGAAATTCAGCAGGTTCTATTTCCACAAGTGAATATTGACCTCATATACTTAGCACCCATAACTACGTTTTTATTACTTGGAGAGAAGTAACTTTAAACTTTATTTTCCTATATTTTTTTCAGGTAGGACTAATGGATTTATTTACTATTGAGAATATGCTCAAAATCTGTTCATCTTTTTTAAAACTATAACTTTGGCTTTGGTAAAATGATAACATCACTTATACAGAACATACATTTTCATTAATATAAAGGAGCCCAAGTGTGGAGGTGAATACATGCATTTGGAAGATGGAGGCAGGAGGGTTGCCACCATTTAAAGATAGCCTAGAGTACATTGTGAGTTCAAGACCAGCCTGAACTACATAGCAAGGCCCTTTCTCAACCCCTCACCTCAAAAACTTAATATAAAGGAAAATTAAACAAATCTTTGAGTGATTTTTGGATAATTTAGGGGGACCTAATTCATGAACAAATAAGAGGAAGGTTGAGAGGCTAATAAAATAAAAAAGGAAATAAAGAATATAATTATAACAACATAAAACTGTCTTCAGGGCAAAGAACACATGTAAGAAAATGACAGGCATGAGGAAATGAAGCAGAGACAAACATGTCTCATAGTCAGATGTGTACTCTTAAATTAGTTTTACCAGATCAAAAAAGAACTTGCAGTATGCCTTTATATTATCATTTGAGGAATATAATTTTTAGATAAATGTACTTTTATCATGTGACTGTAAGGGAAGTCCATCTTCAAGAATGCTAGTATTTACAAACACACTCCTCAGTTGACTTTAATTTAAATTCAAATATGCTCCTATGTATTTCAGCACTGACACACATATAATGTAATAGAAATTCTTTTTGAGCACAAGTTAAATATGTTTCCACAATTTCATTTCAGAGCCCAGTAGAAAAGTCATTGAGTGCTTCAAACTTCAAGTGACAATCCTTTTGTAATAAAAAAGGTAAATAAATAGCTATTTGTACCCACTTAGTTCGACTTCCATTATTTCCTGTCTCTTTGAATAGCTTCTTCTTCTTCTTCTTCTTCTTCTTCTTCTTCTTCTTCTTCTTCTTCTTCTTCTTCTTCTTCTTCTTCTTCTTCTTCTTCTT